ATATCGCAAAAAAATTTGATGAAATCTTAAATAGTAATCTGATATTGGGTTTGTTATTTTCTTTTGCAGCATGTCTTCAAAATGGAGCAAGAAGAGTACACCAGAGAAGAAATTGATTGGAGTTATATAGAGTTTGTTGATAACCAAGATATTCTTGATCTTATAGAAAAGGCAAGTGTATTCATTTAATCATGAACTCTAGCTAGATTTTAATTCTACTAAAATGTGTATAGGCCTGTAAGTTTGCTGCTGACATTTTGCCTCTTTATATATAACCATGCACGTAGGATTCAACGAAGTTGTTGTTGCTGTTGCTGTTGTATATATAACCATGCAACAAAGTTAGTCTGCTTGCTAAGTTTCACGCAGAAGCGTTGCAACTGATGTTTCTGTCAGCCATTGAATTCTGCCACCCCTCGCCTTGCGTCCATGAGTCCAAGGCGCTCCCCTTCCTCTCCTATCCTGCACCTCTACTTGGCAATAGAGTGTCGCCTCAGTGCCTGGTGTGTCTTTATCATGAGCCTTAGGTCCATAGAATATCATGTGAGCCATCTCACATAATTAAGTTAATGATAAAAGAAAATTTAAGTCTATGCCCAAACCCATTGTGATTTTTCTTATGTGTGAAGGTATGCCTTTTTAGGTATATCAAGGGTGTACCTAAGAATATTTCCCACTCTAAGGTACCTCAGGCATGAGAGGCGCTTGTCTCTTAGCAAAGCAATGAGATTCATCATTCATGACTTTACTAGGTTAGATGCTTAGAGAGTAAATACTTGACACTTCATGGCTCAAATCTTGCTTTGCCTAATAATTCATCAACCCATGAAAGAGAACCCCTTTCTTTCGAGTATGCAGAATTGCAGATACAATAAATGGATAACCAAGATACACGAGAACCGATATATAATGCTCTTTTCACTATATGCTTGTGTATTAATTCTTACAATGTTCTTTTATTTATTTAGGAAGAAGTATTTCATTTAGTTAGCAGTATTGTCATTTTAGTTGAGTTGAAGGAGGAGGAAGGATGGGGGTCATAACGCCCAAAATTTCAGCAAATGTATTCTTGGCCGATCAAGAAGGTGATTGTCCA